CGGAAATCGAAGTACCTACGCTGCGACTAGAAGCATACGACGAACAGACAAACGAAGGTGAGTTACGCACCAAACTCGACCTGCTGGACGAGGTGAGAGACCTCACGCACATCCGAACTGCGGCCTACCAGCAAAAAGTAGCTCGGTACTATAACGCCTGAGTAAAGAAGAGGAACTTCCGCGTCAGCGACCTGGTTCTCCGTAAGGTCATGGTGCCCGAACCCGGCGTAGGGAAACTTGGACCAAATTGGGAAGGACCCTACAGAGTAAAGAAAGCAMTYRRGGGGGCATACGAGCTCGAAACCCTAGAGGGAAAACAAGTACCCCGAGCATGGAACATTGTCAACCTAAGGCGATACTACCTATAGACCGCCAAGGCATGTACCCCGAAGCCGAGGTAGAAAACGAACTAGTAGAGGACCGAAATAGTCAGTTTGGCAAAAAACATAGCTCGAAGACAGGACAACCAACACTTAAACAAAAAGGCCATTTCATTTCAGATAATGAGGTGTACAAAAACAAAGGCCATTTCATTTTTTACAAGTCCGGGGCTACTTCTTCGTTATCAGAAGCCACTTCGACGATACCCGAAGGCCTTGCCTCCCCCTCGGAGTCCGGTTCACCATCCGCAGCGTTGGCCATCTCTTGAGTAATACGCGAAGTGGATATGGCGCTGATGTCGAGCTTGGGGTACGTATTCCAGATCATCCACTGGCTTAGCTTGAAACCCCTCCTGTAGGAGTCCACCATCAGATCATCGAAGTCCGACGAAGCAATATAATCACTAACAGCTTTCTTCTTCGCATCTTCATTGCCTTGAGAGAAGATCTGAGTCCTCTCCCTGATATCCTCCTGAAGATACTCGACCTGATGCTGTATGTGCAGCTTCAATTCCGCCATATGTTTCACCACCACTCCCATAGCCTCAGCATCTCTCTGAGACCTCGCCTGCCTAGACCGCGCGAGGCGAGCAGCCTCCTTAGCAGCACGAGCAGCCTCCTCGGCAGCTCGCGCCTACCTCGAGCTCCTCTCCACCTGGTTCGCCAAGGCGTGAATAGAAGAGTTCACCTATCAAAAGGAAACAAGTGATCAGAGGAACGAATAGAAGAATAAAAGCCGAAGAACTCTAAAAAAGGGAGATCACTTACCACCATGACATGGGTAACGGCACGGCAGGCCACTTGGTGCAGAGGAAGATCGGTCCACACCGCGACTTCCTCGGGGAAAATGGCCTCCTTACTCCTCTGAAGAGCATGAGTAGGCGACAACACACTCCTAAAGTCCCCTGGGGCCCCCGAGCCTGATGGCCCAGCTCGCGTTTGG